AAAAAAAAAAAAAATTAAATTAAAACTATATATCTTTGCAAAGAGATATTTGACTCCAGAATTCCCTATTAGGATATCTACTTTCGCTTCGACTTCAAGCAGAACGATAATGAAGAAAGTTGTTTATAATAATAAGCTTATAAAGTGCTCGGAAATTTTCGTGCTTAGCAGCACGAGTTACAAATATTTGACAAATTTCCTATGATCTTTCGGATTTTTCTTCGCCATAGAAAACAAGCCAAGTCTTATACTATATTAGCGAATTTTGTAGAATTGAGAAGAACATAAATAAAAGCACTATAATGGTTTAATATGCCTGCCATTAAATACCATATCCTACAACCAGCCTACAACCGATATTTAATTGTTAACAAATGTAACTGTCTTTTTGACATGAAACTTTATATGGGCAGCGATAGGAAAAGTGTTCTGATCCCAAGTGTTTTTAATAGCATTCGTCATTTTGTTGAGCCAAATTTCAAGAATATATATTGTATATATATTAAAAAAAAAATGGACAGACATACAGACAGACATGCTTAGATCAAGTCAGAAAATAGTTTTGAGGTGATCGATATAATAAAGAGTGGGTCTGTCTAAAATCCGTCTAGGTGTTGCATATATTCACACAAATCGTTACACCATACACATGTGAAACATGAACAAAAATGCAAATCAGTTAGTGCTTGATTTAGTACAAATCTGTGAATTAGTTCTAGGGCGCTCTCTACATAAGTGGTTCATAAGTTGTTCTTGTGAATTTTGACTATCGATAGAAAAAGAACTTGAATAGGAAATTTTCCGTTTTCTCTAAATGAATAAAAAAAATAAAAAATAAAAACATACACATATATGATGGTCTATGATTAAAAGGGCCACTTAAGGTTACAAAGGCAACATATTAAAATGTCTTAGGGATCTGTTCGTGACACTTCTAGTTCCTACTGATTGTAATTGCGCACTGAAACAGTTATATTTCGTTTTTGAAATTAAATTTTACTTCGTTCCCTTCTCCTATTTGCTGCTTCTGTGGCACCTTCCATTTCCTTCCAAAAAAAAAAAAAAAAAAAAAAAAAAAAAAAAAAATTCAAGAAAGAAACTATTGAAGGTTTTTAGATGATTCGAGTGAAACATTAGCATCATCGAGCAACTCCATGTACTTTTCGTTCATTTTTTTATATTAGGCCGGGTGCTTCTGGCAACTACCCTCGCATTTTTCCGGATAAAAAACTCGATTCATTTTAGGAAGAGATCATATAACATAATAACAAGTCAATGGTGATTAACTCACGAGCTTGTTTTTACTTTGAACAAATTTTCGATGGATTGTCCTACTTTTTAAAAAAAAAATTTAAAAGATATCTTTAATTATTTATTTGTTTTTTTTTTTGTTTGAGAGTAACCAAAAGTTTCAAAGGTCAAGCTTTACAAACAGATTTTTTGTTGGTGCAATTTTCTTCTAGCGATTCATTTCAATATTTATACAATATGAAAATTATTTTTATAGAATTTTGATAATAAAAACATAGCATGTCACTGTTTTGCTCAATCTCTCCTCTTGTTTTTGTTATTCTTTTAGGAAAATTTTTTTTTTGTGCCATAGTTTCCTTTTGTTTTATAATAAATAAAAATGTACATTTTTTTTATTCTTTATTACAATAATAATAAAATTCAACGTTCTTTTCTTTTAATTATTTTTAATCTAAAAAATTTTTACCTGTTTTTTTTTTTTTTTTTGTTTTGTTTTTAATAATAATAATAATAATAATTTTATTTTTTCT